TCACCTCGCATCTATTTGCGGGTATGGCTTAGGAGCGTGGGGACATACCTTGGTAGTACCAACTTGTACCAAGTTGGTACAAAAAGGAGTCAGGAGTGTGTTGGATGGTATCGACACATATCTTGATAAGGTGATCTGCGGTCTACCAAGGACGGCCAACAAATACGTTCTAAAGCTTTTGCTCGAAGATTATGTCTCGACCTATGAGAAGCTGCTATTCAGATATGCGGTGAAACGACTACATTGTCCGAGTTTTCGTGAAATCAAATACGCGGGACTCACAGAATCATGGTTGAGGAAATGCATTTGGTGAGCTTCCCCATGAAAGAACGTACGAGAGCAGCGGAACATTGCGACCCAACGTTCCGGAGAACCACCCGTGAGTCTCACTCTGCGCAACAACTGTTCACATTTGAGAAGTGCCTCGAGTAGTCAACATTGTGCGAGTTGTCAACTCGTGGAGTGTGAATACTATTCACTGAATAGTGCATATCGAGATGTGGTGAAAGTGAGCTTTCATTGGTCGAAATTGGTATCGTGTCCGACGAATTTGAACTTGCGTTTCCGAGTTCATAAATTTCATTTACAAATTTGAACTCTCATTTTTGACCGGTCTACGAAAATCGAACTTTCCATTCAAATTTGAACTTTCATTTCGTGAACAACTCCTTTCACTCGTCGAAAAACAAATTGCTTTCGTCAAATTTGTTCTTTCAATTGCTGAATTTCAGATTGAAAAGGTGGGTGAACCACAAAAATCTAAGGAGAGTGTAAGTTTTCTAAGGAGATTTGTGTTTCCCAAGGAAGCCGGAAAAATCCAAGGTGGAATCAAGGAGGCTCCGCTGAACTTCCAAGCTTCAGACATCTCGAGACTCGAGACTCGAGTCGAGGAGCGTGGATTACAAGCTTCTCGGCTAATGTGGCGTCTCGGTTGAACTCAGTCAATTGTGGATCGCCGATTCAAAAGCGGAAGTCGAAGATCGCTTTCTTCACATGCCAATCTTCATGTTCATTGGGATTTGCGAACGAGATGAAGCCATTTGCGTCAAGTGAAGATTGATGCCTCTCCCAGAGTCGCGATGTTTGCTCCCGACTCGAGTCTCGACGATATGTATTTGCTTGCAATAAATTCTACTCCTAAACGCAAATATGAACTAGATTATGGACTCAATAATGGAGATTGAGTAGAAAAAAGGTCCTCAGTCGAGTCGAAGAGAGCAATACAGCGTGAACCACGAGCGAGAATGCCCCAGAGGTCATCAACATCTTTGATCAGACCCTGATCCTAGAGCTGGGACTATGGCTTCTCTCATACAAAATAAGGCGGTGGGTTCCGCAACAAAAGAGGACATATGACATGTATAGCCACATCAGGGCCGTGAGACGTCTGATAAGTAATGTGGTACAAAAAGTGCAACCGAGCCTGAACTTGAGGTCCTCAAGCGGATTCGGCGAAAAAATCAACGACTTGATCTTGGAATTTAGCAAGTAAATTCGACGAATCGTATGGGTAAACCACCACCCTTGTCAGGTCGGCAGATGCAATCTCCACTTCCGGGAAGAGATGCCTGATTCCTCGGTACCAGTAATCAACTCCCTCAGGTGAGCCTTCGAAATCGACGAAGTAAGACTCGGCCCAAGCCTCCGCGATGCGCTTCAGGGGGTAGATCGGCGGGTCCACGAAGGGAGCCTGGCCTTTGACCTCGAACTCAAGCCCGATTCTAGAATCGGTGAATACATAGGTCAATCTGTAGCCCTGCCCTTCGTGAACGTATCTACCAGCAGGCAAGGCTCCCACAAATACCAGAACATAACAGGCCATCAAGCAGATCATATGGGGTGTCATCATTATTGAGAGAGTAGAGCCTCCTGAAGATTAAGTGAAACTACTAAACAACACAGACCAATATCGGGGAGATGTTGTGAGGAGCAACCCTAATGATGTTAGCAACATCCTGATATACTACTGCCTGACCGGGCTACATGTCTGATACCGGAGTGCTATGATTCGAACCAATAAAGGCCATAATGTCACGTTGATTCGAGCGTTAGCAATTTCTGTATCGATAGCTAGTAGAGATGCATGCGTGAAAAAGGTCTTGCGTGATTTTCATGGAGGGGCAGTCTCTCACTGACTTCACTATCCGCTTAGCTGTAACAGACGCCGTCTGTCAGACTTCGATTTGCGGATGGTGAGAGTCGCTCCAACCCGGTAAGTGAGAGTTAATTGCCAGAACGCAACAACCTTGAGGAAGGTTGGAAAGAGCGATTGAGAGCGAACGAAGGAAGGAAGGCGAGGCAGTAAAAAACGTCACGTCACTGCGAACGTCACGTCACTGCGGACGTCACGTCACTGCGGACGTCACGTCACTGCGGACGTCACGTCACGCGGATGCACGTGTCTCGCAGACGTGCGCTATTCTTCATGGCGAGCGCGATATGATCGCGTGCTTGGTGGCGTACCACTCACCCTCCCTCCTTCGAAGCAAAAAAACAGAGAGAGAAATAAACGAAAGGAATGTACAGGGAAGATGGAAAAATGGAAGCCTCAAGGGTCTCCGAAACGCGAATCAGGTAATGGTTTGAGGTCCTTGAGGTCGAATTTACCAGACATACCAACGAGGCTGTGAGTCTTCTTCCCTAGACGTTCAGCTATGGTTGCCGGTAGTACCGGCCCGGTACCCATCGTCGCGAGAGCTTGTTTGTCGGTCTCATGACTCGCAAGAGCACAGGACTATCAACCAGGAAACCAGGACCCCAGGTCTCTCGCGGGTCTTTACACAGGAGAGCATATTCCGGACGCGTTTGAACTGGACGAAAACGGTCGCAGTTGGCCGGAAAAGTGAAAACCTTATCATGCGCACTCTTTCCACCTCGGAGAGGGGTAGTGATTGTACATGCGCAAAAACTCAGCAACAGACTGTTGCCAACAGTGCGATGGAAGACGCCATAGGCTATTTGGTCGCAGCGAACGTGCGAACGTGAATATTCTTCAATCGTGCGATGAAGACGTTCGATACGTCCGTTGCTGAGAGACGTGTTCTTTGCCGTAATGTGCGGAAGAATGTCAAACCCCATCACGAAATCCGTGACCTGCCCTGACACTAGATTCGAACCCCCGTCGGTACACAGCACCAAGGGGTGTGTGTGGAAAGTTGCAAAAATGTGAGACAGGAGGTCGATCACATCCTTGCCAACGGGTGCTGATCTGACAGGCTTACCAAGGGCATAACCCGTTGCGTTGCAGATGCAGGGGACCACGTAAAACTGAGAGCGATCGTTAACTTTACGGAAAGGGCCGACTATGTCTAGGTGTAGCTTATTGAAGGGCACGGCAGACTTTCGCGTGTCAGCAATCTCGGCTGGGGTTCTGCTACGTTTACGCCCAATTCCGTCGCTGTGTACCTGGAGACCATCAGAGTTTTGATATGGGTGCGCTTTACTTGCACGACACATCGCACACTGTAGGAGCGTACGTCGGCAATGCCGACTCGGCAATGCCGAGCACAATGCCGAGTCGGCATTGTGCTCGTAGCCCAGGAGCGCGAACCCATCCTCGCAATCTGTTGAACAGACCTTCAGAGCCTTCGTGATGATCGTTGTGTACCTCAGTAAGGAGCTCAATTAGGTGAGAGTCAGGAATGTGCAATCCGTCAACATTGGCTTGAGAAGCTTCGCGCCACGACTACTTCTGATCTGCAAGAATAGCTGGAGCAGCCAACTGTGGAGCGGGTGATCGACGGGAGGGTTTCTTCCAACGGAGGTATGTGGGAGCTCGTGTGAGATGATCGGCCGGATTCCTCTCACTCTCCACGTAATGATAAGACACTGAAAAGCCTGAGACCTCGATGGTATCTTCATCGGAAGTCGTGCCTCAGCAGAACCGGCCGTGTGTACCATGGTCAGTGCCTAACTGTCCCTCATTTCGATGGTATTGTGCCTTTCTAGGGAGCATCTTTTTGGGATGTGTTAGACAACTCCAACTTTTTAGTCCTTCAAGTTTATAGTTTCTGCCAAGGCCTGCTACCTTTCTTGTGCGGTTGCGTCTGCGTGCCAAATTGCGTCTGCGTGCCAGTTTGCACGTGTATACGGTTGTGGTATCAGATTCACTGTTGAACGATCAATGATGTTGAGATTGGTACCGTAGCCATCTTGGCTCAAGTTATTAATTGTCATCCACAATGCCCGGCGATGCCTTGAGTTCTTCCCAGTCCCCCGACGATGCACAAGCTCCTCGCAACCCCGCCTCTCCTTGTCTCGGTGTTGATTCTTCTGAGTCGTCTGGAAACAACGGGACAACTGGCACCCACCGTGGGGCCCGAGGGGGTGCATCAGATGAAGAACGAGTGACGGCGGTTATCCATACCAGAAGTCAACAACGTCAATCTCCAGTCGATGACAACGACAATGACAATCAAATCATCCACCAAGTTACCGTACCGCTTGGGGTTCCCAGCCCCCACGTCCCCTCTCGACGAAGGGCTGCAATTGACGAACTCCTCTTTGAGGTGGAAGGTGTGACAGGGGCCAACATGCAACCACTGCCCTCGGTTGTGCAGGCTCTTCAGGTAGACACCTTTTATTTGTTGGAATCCATCTTGGGTATTGGCTTCAACCCATGGATTTCTCCTTCTTTCGCCCTTATCGGTCGAGGAGGGGAACCCCTAGGTGTCAATGTGACAAAGTTCTGTCAAAGTTGGCGCCTGGAATGCTTGCGAGGTTCCCTTGCGTCTAAAATGTCTTCGAATCCGGTTGCCTCAAGATCCCTACGTGTTTTAGATGTTGCCGAGGGCTCGCCTGTTGTATGGAACTGGTTGGAACGCCTGGACAGGGCTTTCAGTGTCTCCAGATCAGCTGCTTCCGTTCGACTCCTCACGTTAGCCTACCTCTGTCCACCTGCTCTGGTATCATCTCTTCGCTCTAGCTTGGTGAAGGTCTGTCAAGATAGTGGTGGTGACAGACAAGCTGTCAGCAGATGGAGCTACTGGGTTGGGAAAGATATGTCTGAAGCCGCAGTTGATGTACGTCAGGCATTCAAAGCAGAATACAACTCTTACAATGCCGTTGTCGCGCGCTGGCTGAAGGACGTGCTGGAGCTCATTAATGATAGAGTTCGTCCTAAGATATCTCTGGCTCGTACAATGTCGTCATGGGCGACCTTATCGCTCCAAGAAGGCGAGAGTATCGAGAGTTTCCTACAACGCGAAAGCGAGTTGTGGCTCTTGCTAGCCAGCCACTCTGCTGCTACAGATCAGTCTCCCTTCAACTGGAAGGAAAGAAGAGCGAGGATACTATCCGCAATACTCGTTGTTCCGTCATGGAGAAGCTCTATTGGTCCGTGGATATCGGCGTTGAAAACCGCTGACAACTACTCAGTCTTCCGTGAGCTGATCAAGGAAGCTAAGAAGACCATCTTGACGCTCAAGGCTTTACCCAAGTCTGAAGCCATCTTGACGTGTGACAATCCTATGCATTTTGGTCCCTTACCGAGTACGGTCTTCCGAGGCCCGACCTGGAAGCGATCGGTCGATCCTCATCTACCAGAACCAATGAGCGCCAAAGCGCCGGACTCCGGAGTAGTGTCAGGGGCTTGCCGATCGGGGCCCAAGGCTGATGGTACACAAGGGCGTGGGCCCAGAGGGCGCGACCCTACAGCTCCAAAGGTTGAGACTAAGAAGTTCCAATCGGCATCTCGACAACCTCAGCGACCCGTCAACAAGCAGAAGGCGAAAGACCGGTCGGAAGGTCGATGCTTCAAGTGTCACGTAAAAGGCCACTTGGCCCGAGACTGCCCCATAGATGGGGAGGTTGAGAAGACTGATGGGTCAAAGACGGTCTCGAGGAAGGCGCCTGCTGTGAATGTCACTGCAATGAGTCCAAGGAGGGTGGAGACTGCGTATGTCGGAGCCGGAGAACCCTTCACTGACGAAGAGTCCGAAACCTCGGAGCCCGCTCGTTTGTGCGCTTGTGCTGTGGCCAATCCATCGCAACACACATACGATATCAGCTCCTCCAGAGATGACGATCTTGTGTATGTCCACTTGACGAGCGTCAATGGTCGTAGCTTCAAGGCGCTGATTGACCCAGGAAGTCAACTTAATCTTGTTGAAGAGAGTGTTGTCAATGGTGCTGATGCCTTAGCCAGCTCTGATACCTCCAGGAAGGACATGTCTATCTCGGGCATCGGCGGCAAGATATGTGGTAAACCTGTCACAATAAAAATCTACGGTCCGGCATCTAAAAGGGTTCTACGGTTGAAGGGGTACTCAGTCCCCGAGCTGCCTGGTGGAAGTGAGGTGCTCTTGGGCATACCGGGGCTAAGAGCGCTCAAAGCTCGGCTCGACCTTGGTGTCGGCGAAATGAGTCTATGCGCTTCTGCTCTAGCGAACAACGATAAGCTCCCCATCAAGTCGTCCTCTATCGACATCACAGCTCATCTTGATGTGATAAGAGAGCACCCTATTCCCAGACATAGGGGATACCCACTGGCTCCTGAGAAGTTGGAGGTAGCCCACAAGCTGGTAAGAGAGATGGAAGACAAGGGCTGGATCAAAATCATTGACGACAAGGATACCTCTCAATGGTTCTGTCCTACCTTCTTGAAGCTTAAAAGTAACGGTAAGGTTCGTGTCCTCAATGATCTCCGGGAGGTCAACGCCCGAATACGGTCTTTTGCGTCGCAGAGCTCCTTCGGGGCTGTCCTAGGTGGGATACCCCGATATGTTGAGTCACAGCGCTTTTTGGGAGGGGTACTTGGCGGCATCCGCTTCAAGTGGCTTGTGTGCCCCCAAGGTCTGAGTATCAGCCCGTATTTCTGGGAGTTATATCTCTCGTCTTTGTTGAGTGGTATCGAGTTTCCCCCACAGGTGACCGTGTTATGGTATGTTGATGACATTATAATCTGTGCGCTCGATGATGTATCCGCCTTAGCTGCTAAGAAGGCCATCATCAGTGCACTGGTTAATAAGAACGTGATGGTCGCCGAGGAGAAGTGTTGTGGGCCTGCTCGCTCCGTGAACTTCTTGGGACTGGTTATTGACGAGCACGGTTGGAAGCCTCAAGAGGAACCTCTAGACCAGTTGAGAAGATTGCCAAAGCCGAGAAACCGTGGTGAACTTCACTCCTTTCTGGGTGTGGTGAACTATCTAAGGGGCGTGTACGACCCCTCAGAACTCCAGAAACACCTAGCTCCTCTTCAAGACCTATTGGTGAAAGGTCGACGTTTCCAGTGGTCGGAGGCTCATGATCTAGCTTTCGAATGGCTATAAACCTCCATCAAGAACCAGCTCTATGCTCACCAGCCTGTTTCGTTTGGAACGCAGCTACAGCAAGGTGAAGGATGGGTTCTTCAGACGGATGCTTCCGACCTGGGAATAGCCTGTGTACTGTGGCGTTTCCACTTTGATAAGGTGGAAGATGGTACGCAGGTAACTCCCGAGATTCTGGGGCAATTTGGTGATGTTGTGAGTACTTGGAGTCGCAAGCTTCGTGGTTCCGAAAGAAGATGGGCCATGTTTGACCTGGAAGGTCTGGCCCTGGTTGAAGGCCTCCGCAGACTTAGGGCATATCTTCTAATACCTGACGCTCGCGGAGAAAGAGCTCAAGTCGTGGTCTAATCAGATAGCGTTGTTGCCATTCACCATTGTCGAGAGGTACCTTCTTATAAGGATTTCCTCAAAAATGGTGTTCGTTACAAGAGATGGTGCCGTTGGCTGGAAGCCATCGGCGACCTGGTCCCCTTCGTCAGGATGGAGCATATACGGGGCGACAGCAACAATCTGGCAGACCTCTTCTCGCGGGTCCTTGTGGACATTGGAGACGACGATGAAACTAGTATCAAGGGCGAGATCGAGGTATGCCCCCCGGTGGTTCTACTTGGTGAGGCTGAGATTGACATTGGTTCTGGTTCTCTGCTACTCTGTGAACTGCCTGATGATGCCCCAGTTCCTGAGGAGCTTCAGCGCCTATATGGTCGAGGCAGAATAGAAGTGCGTGAACAGAGTATACTCTATACCGGTAAGAAGGGTCGTAAGCCATATTATGACCCTATTATGTCACGGCTCAAAGTACTCAGCATTGCGCACGGTGACTTCCACGCGTCAACTGTGAGAATGATCGACGACTTGACTCGATCTCTGTGGTGGCCTGGAATGCGCCAGGATGCGACAGACTATGTCCAAAAATGTGTTCGCTGCGCTCGCAGTGCTGCTGTCCAGGCATGTGCTCACCCGCGGGCTGCTTTGACGGAGGTTATTGATTATGATAAGGATTCCGCCCGATTATGGGAGGCCGTAAGTCTCGACCACGCCGGTCCATTCGTTGTTGAGACCAGCTTGGAGAAATCAGGGCGAGTCTACGTTCTCATAATGGTGGACATGAGGAGTGGGTTTTGTGAGATGAAAAAGGTGCACAGCGTTACCTCTACGGCTACTACAGACGCCTTTTATGAAAGTTGGGCGTCTCGGTATGGTTGGCCAAAGAGTGTTCACTGCCATAATGCTCCATGCTTTCGGTCGGCTGCTACTATCGCCGTGTGGGAGAGATACGGTGCCAAAGTGACATTCAGTCCCCCATTTTGGCCGAGAGCTAACGGCGTGAGTGAGGCTATAATCAAGGAACTGAAGACAGTGATGAGCAAGACGACGCCAACGACTGAGGCAGAGTTGGAACTTTCTTGTGCTGGGGCGCGAAGCGCTCATAATATGTCCAGAAGCGATGGGTTACCAAGCTCACCGATGGAAGTGGCTTTAGGGTACCAGCCACGTACTGCTGCTGGGTCCCTATGCGACTTCAACGACGGCGAGGATCCCTTTAAGCGACTGCCTCCTGATCAATATGCTGCTACTGTTGAGAACTACCTCTCCAAGAAAGCTTTATTGCGTGAGAGAAAGAGGAAGGCGGCTGATGATGTGGCCGGGAGATATCGACCAAACTCATTTGGTGTCGTACGACAGAACGATTTAGCCTTCGTAGTGAGGCGTGGTTCACGTCGGTCTGGCGCTATAGGCCCGTACCGTGTCACTAAAATTCAGGGAAATAGGGCTTGAGTGGAAGGTCTCAGCGGTCCAGTGGCGCTCGGTCAACTGGTCAAGTATGCTGGTAACGAGCTCGATGCTGTCGACGCCACACCTCCTGCCCTGGTGGTTCCCCTCGATCAACTCGAAGCTGATGATTGGGTTGCGTGGGAAACTAGTGAACTTGACGGCCAGGTGGTTAGTCTGGATATTGGACGGATCCATCGTGTCGAGGGTTCTGTTGAGGATGAAACCTTCAGAGTCTACCGTGCAAGACGGTTGGCCAGTGGTGATTTCACGATGCATCATGCCGATCCCGTGGTGGTCAAGGTGGACGACGTCATTTTCAGTGGATCATGGCTGAAGGTTCCGCTCAGTGATGAGTCTCAGTCAAGGCTCAGTGCCTTTGGATACGACTTGGACGCCTGACTTGTCATAAATTAATTACCTGTCGTTTATTCCCTGCTAAATAATCTCCCGTCGAACGGCAGGGGCGATTGTACCATGGTCAGTGCCTAACTGTCCCTCATTTCGATGGTATTGTGCCTTTCTAGGGGGCATCTTTTTGGGATGTGTTAGACAACTCCAACTTTTTAGTCCTTCAAGTTTATAGTTTCTGCCAAGGCCTGCTACCTTTCTTGTGCGGTTGCGTCTGCGTGCCAAATTGCGTCTGCGTGCCAGTTTGCACGTGTATACGGTTGTGGTATCAGATTCACTGTTGAACGATCAATGATGTTGAGATTGGTACCGTAGCCATCTTGGCTCAAGCCATCTTGGCTCAAGTTATTAATTGTCATCCACAATGCCCGGGCCGGGCATTGTGGACTCAAGGCATCGCCGGGCAGCCCGGCGTCTGGTCAAGGCGGGTGTCTGGCGCCTAAAGGTCAAGCAATGTATCGAGCATGGGGATGATCAGGGCTGGAAAGTATCTTTTGATCAGCCTAGGTTATGTGAGATAAAAATACGAGGTCATGGTTATGGAATTGAAAAGGGAGGGAAGCTACTCGATGACATGATAAAGATGAATGGACTGAGATGCGAGGCTGACGATCTCAGAGTCAGTCGCATTACCGCTGACAATGTTCACATCAAGGTTCCCTTCAAGATTATGAACGAAGTTGAGAATAAGTTCATTTACCTTGACTGTGTTAGAGTCAGGGTACAATCGTGTGTCTATGTTAACCAGTGCTACAAATGCGGCTCTCTGGATCGCAAGCACGACTTCAGAACATGTGAGAGACGGTCTGTCTGCAAGATCTGCGGTGGTAATGATCATAAAACTGACGAGTGTCTCGAGGAAGGAGAGAGTTATCGCTCGAAGTCTCGATGCGTGAACTGTGGCGTCTAGGGGAACGGGACCTTTGATGTTCTTAGATGTCCG